TGCAGATTGAAAATCAACAAATCAACTATTACATTTCAATCAATTAAACAAGCACAAATAAGAATTATGTACACATCAATTAAACAAATCAACATTTACAAATCATTTTTTACAAATCAATTAAACAATCAAAAAAATAAAATAATTCTTATTTCCTCATCAATTATTGAATCAATGAATCAACTTTTGCACCCGTACATCCATTTCACGCAGCTCACTTAAGGATTAACCTGCAGAAACCAAACATTTGCTCAAACAAGACTTCCTACATATCTGAAACCTACAAACAGCAAATTATTGAATTCTAGGTACTTAACCAAACATTTTCAAACCAAAAGGAGTATATATGTTAACAAAACTTGCATTTGACTTACCAATTAACAATGGATACTTTCATAACGCGGATGCAGGTAGGCAGCGTCTCGAATATATCGCTCTAGCCATATAATGCCGAAACCACAAGCCTACTACAGCTCTATCTCTATCGGTGGGAGGTAGAAACTCTGTGCTTCCCGTCGTCAAACGCGCCAAGCACATGCATACGAGAGGACCACAATCCCCTCTGGCTCTCGGCGATTGTTGTGGCGCGGTCTCGTCTCTGACAACTGTGACATTGAACTTCTTTGGCTTCTTGTGTCCAGAATGAGTCCAATAATCCCATCCAAGAATTTAGCCAAATGAGAGCTCCATCCCTTGATATATCTCTCAATCAGACAGTGATATGTAATTTATCATGCTGTCATATACTATTATCTTCAGGGATGGGAGCTGAAGTTGGACGAGAAGCCAATGACGACGTTCCAAAACAGGGATAAACACCTGTAATCATAAGTAATAATTCATTTATTTGCGCACTTATTTATGAACACCTTTAGAAAAATAAAAAAATAAACACTAACCTTATCGACCTCCCACCATGCAGGATAAAGTTTAGCTTGTCCATTGCCCAACGAAAATGATTCATCTCGTTGATTCTTCAAGTGAACTGCGAGAAAAGCCGCCGACATTATTGTATATCGCGAATTTTTTTTATTTTTCCTAAGCTTCCTTATTATTAGAAGACGTGACACCCACGTATCATTATGCTGTTTTACAAAAAAAAGACATATATTAGTGAATTACATTAATTTTTAAAAAAAATTAATCAAAATATAAGACAAATATAAGACTTACCTCCCCATCGAAATAGCCACTGTCTTTTCCTAAGCTTCCTTATTATTAGAAGCGTGACACCCACGTCATTATGCTGTTTTACAAAAAAAAGACATATTAGTGAATTACATTAATTTTTAAAAAAATAATCAAAATCATATATAAGACAAATATAAGACTTACCCCCATCGAAATAGCCACTGTCTTCAACCCCTAATAACACACCCCACCAAGACCGATTAAGCAACAAATACATCTCATCGTTGAGTTTGCTTATGTCAGTGTAACACCCTTGGCTCCGCTCATGTAGATAAAAATCAACTGCGGTCTTAGACCAAAGGGTATTATCCAGAATTGTTTCCGGTAGTTGTCTCCTCTCCACTTCAGATACCGGAAGGGTACTAGCCGGTAACTCATACGAGAGCCAACTCTCATCCATCATGTCCGGCAACGGTGGGGGTTTCTCAATAATTCGATATATTACCCCATGTGAATCGGGCTCTGGAATGGTGGGAGGGACCTCTTCAACGATGACAGTGGCCTCTTGAACGGTGGGGGGGGGGACTCTTGAGAGATGATAGGGGCCTCTTGAACGATTGGAGGGGACTCTTGAGGGATGACAGGTGAGTCGGGCTTCTTCTTGCGGAGTCTTCGCACCATTGGGGTGAACGGAGACGTAATAGCCCGTGCACGCCGTCTGATGCGTGAACTCCGTCGTGCAAGGAAAACCCGACGTAAAGCATCCATCTTATCGGGCCGCTAAAAAAAATTAATACATAAATCAGTAAATAAACAGACATGATATTAAACAAAGACATATTTTTCAAACTTGCATTGTATTCACCCAAGTCATTATTCTATCATAGTTCACAAAATGCATCAGATAACATTCCAGAAGTAAGCACTTATATAAACATTTAAAAGGACAACATATATAAACATTCCAGAAGAAGAATAGTTTACTTTCGCAACACGAAAATGACTATCGCAATGCGGATTGCGATTTGTGTTTCGCGTTGAGATTTTGTCATTGCAATTTTCATTTCGCATTGCGATTTTGTCGTTGCGATAGCCATTTCCGCGTTGCGATAGTCATTTTCGCGTTGCGAAAGTAAGTTTCGTGTTGCGAAAGTAAACTATTCTTCTTCTGCAAATTGAAACTTGAATGGATTGCATTACTTCAACCAAAAGACAAAAACAAAACCAAAAACAAATACTAACAAAAACAGTTTAGCAGTATTGGCAGCAACCGAATGAATTTATTAATCAATCTAAGTGAAATGGTTAATCTAAGTAAAATTACGAGTAAATTTATCATCAAGTTAAATATGAAAAATCTTAAACTTACCTCGTTGCATAGAGTATGAACCTCATTCTGCAACGATGCTACCATCTCACGTAGAGCGGCTACCTCACCGCGTAAAGTAGACACCTCAACACGCCATGCACCATCGTATTTGCGTAAAGTACCGACCTCCTCACGCAAGGCATTGACCTCATCACGTAACTCATCCCGTAGAGGTGGAGGTGGAGAACAGGGAGATAAACGTCGTGGCATCTTTTCCGGTCGCCTATCTTGCGGTGATGGTGGAGAAGAGGCTCGATGATGTGATAGAATAGGTGATGGTTGTCGTTGTGGAGGTGTATAGTCGGGTCGATCAGGTGATGGCTCTGGGTGAGGTGATAGTTCTGGGTGAGGTGATGGCTCCCGAAGAGGAGGCTGCTCATCATTCGTGCCATCAAAAAAACGCTTACTAGCTTGCCACCAATCAGTGGCAAGCTCAGCTTCCGTGGGTGTTAACTTCTGTATTGGAGTGTTGGCCTCCTAACAATATAAACGTGTACTAGTAATAACTTGTTTATAAACATATGGTAGTATTTATGTTAACTTACATTATTTATTGTCGTATACCGTAGTAAATCTTCCCATTGCAAGGTTCGTTTCCTCTTCCAGGAAATAGCCCTGGGAATATCATTTGAAGTTTTTATTGCATATGTCTTCATGGCGGGAAAGGCCTCAAATATCCAAATCTACAAACAATATAATAATAAACATCAGTAATTGTTAAATAATTACTTATAATTTTGGAAACATTATATAAATATTCTTACCTTAAAGGCCCAAATAAAGCCTGTCAAAGTGTATTTGGAACCATCGCCATGCAAACTTTTTCGATCATCCAAGGCAGACAATAACTTATTCCATGTAGCTTTCCATAAATACGAGCCCCACGGAAACAGGTTCCACGCATTTAGGTCTTCTACCAATTTGATTAGATCATTCGGAATAGGTTGTCTGGCCTCTCTGCCTAAAAAGCCGGCATGCAAAAGTATTAGAAGGCATACTCGGACAACATCGACGTCATCCATCCGAGTAAAACCATATTTCTTATTCAATAATCTCGTCAGGTCTTCCACTTGTAGATTCGACCACTCCAGCTCAGGAAAAACCCGGGATAACCATGATGGGCGGGTAATGTGTCTAGTGTACCGACCTACATCATCGTGTCCGAAGCGTAGACCAGTGATTAAGCAAAACTCCTCCCGCCCAAAACACGTACCGGTGGAAAATCAAACCATATCTCTTCATCACGACGTTGTATAGTATCTGGTAGATCGCTAGTCATGGTTTGAAGAAACAGGTGTGTCAACATCGCATCTCCATCGGGATGTTGTACTTTCAGCCATGGCCCGAAGCAAGTATCCTCAAACATTTTTCTTTGTGCAGGTGAAAGCTTCGACGCAATTGTTTTGGCCAGGCTGACTTTATTTCTTAAGGTCAATTGAGCCGAATAAAAGTTCTACAAAAACAATAAACATACTAAGTTAGATATACAAAAAACTACACTGTGAAGATATACCAAAAACAATAATAAACATAAAGAGTAGTAGTTTATTCTTCAAACTTAAATTTGCAACACTGTGAATTTCGTATTTGTCTTTGTTTTTTGGTTGAAGTAATGCAATTCATTCAAGTTTTAATTTGCAGAAGAAGAATAGTTTCTGAAAATGAAAATCGCAACACGAAAATGACTATCGCAACGCGAATTTGTCGTTGCGATTCTCGGTTGATTTAATAAGCAATATAAGTGAAATGGTTAATCTATTATTGAAATTACCAGTAAACTTATCATCAATTTCAATATGAAAACCCTAATAATAATGCAAAAATTTTAAAAAGAAAATAATTAAAAAAACTAACATTCGGTGGTTGATTTGGTTGATTTTCCATTTCTGATTGTGAGAGTGGCTCTGAGAGATGGAGATAGATGGATTTCGCCGGAGATGTGGACGGATTTCGTCGGAGATGGTGAGAGAGTGAGAGATGGAGATGAGACTGAGTTGTGATTTTAGGTTTTAGGTTATGAGTTGCGATTACGGGATATACTGTGGACGGTTCAGTGTTTCAATATATTAATATTCGTGTTTAGAATTTGAAAATAAAATACGCGTTGCGATACTAATGGCGCTTTGAAAATCGCATTGCGATTATGTATTATCTCGTTGCGAAAGTCAGTATCACGTTGCGAAAGTAAGTATCGTGTTGCGAAAGTCAGTATCGCGTTGCGATAGTAAGTATCGCATTGCGATTTTCTCAATTCGCGTTGCGATTTACTTATTCGCATTACGAATTGAGAAAATCGCAACGCGAAATTGGAAAATCGCATTGCGATAGTCATAATCGTGTTGCGAATCTGGAAACTGATTTGCGATAATGGAGATCGCGTTGTGAATTAGCGATCGCATTACGATTTTGTTGGTCATTTTGACAAATCCGAAAAAAGTTAGTTAAAATCGTATATTATATGAGATTTTTGATCATATTTTCTCTTTATTTAATGTTCTTCTTCCACCCAGGCACAGTGTCCAGCCTATTCCACGCTTCCGATCATGTTTTAGACGCGTAGTTCGTGTTGCGCGACGCACTCGGTGTCGTGACGGTGCCGGAACGACGGTCATATCAACAATTCCGTGTAACAGAGACTAGGATAATAATGCGTTTTAAGGGTTTGTTTACTGTTCTCATGGGGAAGTTAAAGGGGCTTTCCCTTTCTCAACCAATGATTTCAACACCGTCCTTTTTCATACACCAGGGTATGCTTTTTTTTTTTTTACTGATTTGTATTTGATTTTATTTAGATTTTGACGGCACTACTTTAATTGGTTCATGTCTAGCATTTGAGGTTAATGTTTTGGTTATAGCTTTGAATTTCTTACTAGTAATAACTAGGTAAAAATATTGCTGGGATTTTATGAATTTGAAGTTTTTCGTACTATAAGCTGCTCATACATTTTAAAAGAAAATCTGGGTTTTAGTTTGTTTGATTGATTTCAAATAGTTATACATTTTAATAGGAAAACCAGCTAAAAATTAGTTTATCTCTCCACTGTAATTGGTTCATGTCTAGCATTTGAGCTTATTGACTTGTTTATGTAATTGGTTTATGTCCAGAATTTGAGATTAATGATTTGTTTATGTAATTGTTTTATGTCTAGAATTGAGATTAATACATGTTGCCGATGATGTGGTTTTGGTATATATCCTAAAAGGAAGTTTTTTTTATTTGTTTGCTTGAGTTCTAATAGTTATACATTTTAATAGGAAAACCAGTTGATAAACTTCAAGCTTTGAATCGTTATTCTAGTTTTTCAACCAATGATGACTTAAAGAAAGGCCATGGGAAGACAATGTTGGCAAAAGACTTGGCGATTCTTGTTGAGGAGTCGTCTCATAAAGATGAGAGGAAACCTAAGAGCAGAATGGATTCTAGTTTTTCAACCAATGATGACTTAAAGAAAGGCCATGAGAAGATAATGTTGGCAAAAGACTTGGCGTTTCTTGTTGAGGAGTCGTCTCATAAAGATGAGAGGAAGCCTAAGAGCAGAATGGAGCTTAAGAGGTCTCTTGAACTTCGTGTAAAGAAGAGAGTAAAGGAGCAATTCATTGATGGGAAGTTCAGAAACTTGATGGTCAATGTGATTGCTGATCCAAATACACTTCAAGATGCTTATAATTGCATTAAGCTGAACTCAAATGTCGACATATCATTGAAGGATGATTCTGTATGTTTTAATTCCCTAGGAAAGGAACTCCTTGACGGGAATTTTGATGTTAGAGGAAATACCTTCAGGTTCTCAACAAGAGGAATCAAAAAAGAAGTCCTCGTTCTTCCTAATCCGATGACGAGAATTATTCAGGAAGCTATCAGAATGGTTTTGGAAACTGTTTACAAGCCCCATTTTTCTAAGATTTCACATGGTTGTCGAAGTGGGAGGGATCACTCGACTGCATTGAGATACATCAAGAAAGAGATCTGCAGTCCAAGTTGGTGGTTCACATTAATTTTAAACAAGAAGGTTGAATCTAGTATCGTTGCTAAGCTCATTTTGAAATTGGAGGACAAGATAGAAGACAACAAATTATTTGGTATTATCCGAAGCATGTTTGATGCGCAAGTCCTCAATTTTGAGTTTGGAGGTTTCCCGAAAGGCCACGGCCTTCCACAGGAGGGAGTATTATCGCCGGTTCTAATGAATGTGTATCTTGACTTATTTGATCAAGAATTTTACAGATTGTCGATGAGATATGAAGCTCTTCATGAAGGAGCTGACAAAGGTGATTCGCATTCCAAGCTACGGAATTGGTTTAGGAGACAGTTGAAGGAAAATGATTGTAAATGCATGACTAATGATGATAATTCTGGCCATAGAGTTCATTGTTGCCGCTTTATGGATGAGATATTTTTTGCAATTTCTGGTTCCAAAGATATTGCTCTTAGTTTCAAGTCTGAGATTATAGATTTCTTTAAGAATTCTTTGTTCTTGGATGTTGATGACAAGCAAACAGAAATTCTACCTTGTGATGGGCCTAACGGCTTTCGATTTTTAGGAGCTATAGTTAAAAGAAGTGTGCGAGAAGGTCCTGCTACTAGTGCTGTGCATAAGTTGAAAGAAAAGGTACGACTCTTTGCTTCTCAAAAACAAGATGCTTGGAATGCCGGGAGTGTTAGAATTGGGAAGAAATGGTTGGCTCATGGTTTAAAGAAGGTTAAGGAGTCCGAAATCAAGCATTTAATGGATGGTGGCTCTAGCTTGAGTAAAATTTCTTCTTTCCGTAAAGCTGGGATGGAAACTGATCATTGGTACAAAGTCTTAATGAAAGTATGGATGCAAGACATTAAAGCCAAAGCAGCGGAGAATGAGGAATCTATCTTGTCTAAGTATGTTGCTGAACTGGCCCTTCCTCACGAACTAACTGAATCTTATCATGAATTTCTGAAGCGTGTGGATGAATATGTTTCTTCCGAAACAGCTGCCACACTTGCCCTTTTACCAAATTCAAGCTCAAACACTGGATCTGTTATTCTTGCTCCTACCAATGTCATAAAGAAGCGTCTGTTCCGATATGGATTGACCACCTCTGAAGGATATCCTCGTGTTGCTTCACTACTCGTTTTACAAGACAGCCTCCAAATAATTGACTGGTTTGCAGGGATTGTTTATCGATGGCTTCGGTGGTATCAAGACTATGACAACTTCAAAGAGGTCAAGCTTTTAATTTCTACTTTACTGCGGAAATCCTGTGTTCGTACTCTAGCAGCAAAAATACAGGATTCATGAAAGTGAAATAGAGAAGCGATTTGATTCAGAACTATGTAGAATCCCCTCTATAGGAGAGGTGGAGCAAGAGCCGACATATGAAACATCGTATTCTCACCCTTCCGATAATGATGAAGCATTGATGTATGGGATTTCATATAGTGGTTTGTGTTTGATATCTCTGGCGAGAATGGTGAGCCAGTCAAGGCCCTGCAATTGTTTTGTTTTGGGTTGCTCAGTCGCATCTCCGAGTGTCTATACTCTTCATGCTATGGAAAGGCAGAAATTTCCGGGTTGGAAAACAGGGTTCGCAAGTTGTATCCATCCAAGCTTGAATAAACGGCGAATCGGGTTGTGTAAGAAACATTTAAAGGATTTATATCTTGGTCATATATCACTTCAGTCTATTGATTTTGGTGCATGGAATCGATGTCTTCCAGCAAAGTCGAATATCATTTAAACAACAGAAACACGGACTCTAGACCATTTATTTGCCTTGAAATACACTGTGTGAACGCTGTCATGCGCATTCTGATTTGGAAAAAAGGTATTTGTTTCTAAATGAACTTTCCTCGGTAATTAATCTTGAAGACGTTGGAATTGAGCATAGTCAGAAGCATGGGAAGGTGGTATTTGGATGCAGAGATAGGTATAATTGAGAAATCAAACGAATTGCTTGTGTGGGTGACATGCCACCTATACTCGTATTGATAGGAAAACGCCTGGCAAGAAAGAGTTTGCTCTACGGCAGGCAATGAAGTCCTCACCAAGTAAGCAACAATGGCAAAGAGTGGAAAGAATATGACAGATCATTTGAGAGCATATTTGTTTTCTTGTTGGGTTGTTTTATCCTTTCCCTAAAGAAACCACTGGAGATTATATAATTGATTGCTGCAGAGCAGTTTCTGGAACGCTAACAGTTTTGGCAAATGACAAGCACACCTGACAGAGCACATGCCATACTAGATGGTCTCATAGACAAATCTCTACTGGAAACGAGATAAAAGTTGAGCACTTGAGATGTCTGTGTTTTGAAATGACGGCATTAAGGATCGCTAATCATGAAGATCTAGTTTCTTTCTGTTGAAAATGGTAGAAGGATAGAAAGTCCTATGGTTAACATTCTTACTTCATGAAAACAGCATGGGAATTAAGAATCGGTGTACTTCATCCATATCCGAACTAAAAAACTTCAGATGCCTCTGTCTAGACGACTGCAGTCAGTTAGTACAGCTTCGGCTTCCTCATAAGATTGGGGGTAACCAGAGTCTTGAAAGTTGGGAAAGCTTAAATGTTGGAGAGCATCATTCAAACAAGTTGCCAACAAAAATCTTGACACGGCAGAAAATGATACGACTGGTAATTCTGGCAACTGCAATCAGAACGGAGATTCCCAGTAAACTTATTGAAAGGCTTTCTAAACCAGAACTTATTATTGACATGAGCCTAATATCAGAAGATGGAGTGAAAAATGCAGGTGAAAACTGCAAGGGATTCTTCACCTCTACTTGAGTTATCCAGGACATCAGATTATGAAAAGCAAAGGGCAAAACTCAGCGGTTGGAAATTTGAAGAATGCAGTATAATTGGTAACCATGAGAACCAGAAGTGTCTAATTTATTCCAGTAAAAATAGATTTTTACTATTTTTTTGGGTTAAATAATTTGAATCAAAGGAGATTCGAGGATGTCGAATACTGCTTTCTTTATTTCTTTGGGTTAACTAGGAAAATCCCATGACATTGCCATAGAAATGAGCTGCAGGACAAAACCTGTGGGTAAAGTATCTTTAATTTCTTCTTTTATAGATTTAATGAGATAATTGTTACATTTTTATTCTCCTTTTTTTCCCTTGTCTGAATATGGTGATGATGCTGATGCTGATGATGCTATTGTTGATGCTGATGAAGATAGATTGATTCGTAGGAATCCGTATCGGGCTCGTCGTCCACCATGGTGCCATACGGGTGGACATAGGCATCATTAGTTGTTTTTTTTTACTTGAAATGAAAAATTATGTAATGTTTTAAAAACTTGATTGTAAAGTTTTTTTAGTAAATCGATATCCAGTTCCATATTTACAAACTTGTAAAAATATATTTAGTTAATCAAACAAATAAAATACAAAAGATACAATACTTCACCTAACTTCTGGTTTTGAATTTTTTTTATAGGAAATGCAAGAGTTCGCGTTTGGTAGAAAGTGAGGTCCTGCCACGTCAGAAATCCAAGTCAAGAATCCCCGTGAACCTCGTGTTTCGTATAATTCAAGGTCCGTTAAATACTGCATCTGTTGGGGTGCGAGGACTTGAATAAAAGGACCCCTACTCGTCTTTTTCCTCACAACCCATTCTTTCAGTTATTCAAAATCTTGTACATGTCTAAAGTCAAACGAACATGTTCACGAATATTGAATGAACATGTTCACAAATATTCTTTTTATTAGATGTTAGTGAATGTTAAACGAACATGTCGGTGAATGTTAAATAAAATTGTTGGTGAATGTTAAACGAACGTAATCATGAATGAATTCTTGAACGCTCAACAAACGAACACAATATTAAAAATTTAAATAAATATAAACACTTTAAAAATAAACAAACTACACAAACATAACTCTATTCATTCAAGCTCGATTTTTCCAAAATCATACATAACAGAATGAACTTAGGTATACTTTATAGAAAATATGTTAACAACTATTGTCACTTGAAAAACATCCGATGATACTTGTAGACACCCGTTTTTGTCCGGATCTACCAAAAATATTATTATATTATTATTATTATTATTCTAATTGTTATTTTGTTTACACATTTACAGGCCCAATCCAGAACCAATTTCAACCAACCCAGCCAACCCGAAGCTCATATACAAGTAAAGCCCAACAAAATGACCCCAAGCCCAGATCCAAGTGAAGCTTAAGAGATCCAATGACCCAACTATAGCCTACTCGACCCAACCGACCCAGACCCGCTAGGGTTTCCTCTTCTCTGCCCCAGCACCGCCTCATCAGGACCATCTGATCTGGACCCATCCAACGGTCCAGATCAATGATCATTCAGGGTCTGAAACCCTAACCCTAACTTTAGCTGTCATCGCTACTAACATCAGTCGCCGCTCGAGCCGAGTTTCCCCTCGCCGCCATCGACAAATCTGCACCAACAGTGACAAGAAATCTAATCAAAGTCAGAAAATATTACCAAATCCAAGAACTTGTCAAAATTTTCAAAGCCTAAACTTAGGGAAATGATATCCCTACTAAAAAAAAGTCCAATGCTATCACCCATAAGACCCATAACATCAATAAAAGAAGATCATTCGGGGTTGGAGGAGGGGGAAAATAAAGAGACAAGAAAATAGAGAGAGAACATAGAAGATATTGGGAAAAAAACAACAACAAAAGAAACAAAGAGATCCAAGCCCGAAAGAAAAAAACAACAAATCACCTAAACAAAACCATTGAGCCACCAAAAGCAAAGAAGAAAATCCTTACCTTGGTCGGAGGAGCATCGGGAAGCCCACGAGTCATCGGAGTTGCATTTTTCGAAAGGTAAAGGGTTCGATCTAGGTTCCTAGGGTTAGGATTAGGTGAAACTAAGTAGGGATCGGGGTAGAGGGGGTTGAGAGGAATTTATTTGGGGGTTTTGTCTCTCGTGAGCTCCGTCGACGGCGGCCATCTCTTTCTTCCCCGACGAGGGGAAGTTGAGATAGTTCTCAACTCTCTCTCTCTCTTCTTTTCTGGAAAATGGGAGAAAATGAGGAAGTGGTCGAGTTTTGGCCTATTGTTGGGCCTTATATTCGGCCAACAAAACGACGTAGTTTTGGTTATCCCCTTCCACGTGTTTTTTGAAATTTTGGGGAAAATATCATGTTTGGTCCCCCATACTTTGTAATCTTTTCGTTTAATCATCAAACGAAATTTTAATGTTATGTTTCAGGCATGTATCTTTCAATAATTATATTTCAGTCACTATTTGTTTATTTTTTTTCATGTTTGTACATGTTTCACTTTGGTCACAATGTTTTTAGTTATTTCATTTTAGTCACTCGTAACATGTGTTGTATTTTTTTTATTGATAATCGAATTTGGCCTTGACATTTGTAAATATCTTATTTTAGTCACTGTTGGTATTTGGTTTAATTATTGTTAGACCTTTTATGTTTATATTTATTTCATTTTAGTCATTATTTTAGTTATTAGGTTATTTTCATTTCCAATACTTATATTATTTAATATTTTTTATTTTGACTCTGGTTTTTGTATTTATCGTTCAGTCCTTTAACTTTTTATTTTTGTTTTTTAGTTCTTTAAGTTTTTTGTTTTTTCTATTTTAGTCCTTTAACTTTCTATTTTAGCTATTTTAGTCCTTTAAGTTTTTGTATTTATTATTTTGGTCCCTAAACTTTATTTATTTATTATTCAGCCCTTTAAATTTATGTTAATTTTAATTTAGTCCTGTAAATACTTTTATTTTAGTGATTTCATTTTGGTTTGTAATGTTTACTTATTTTTATTTTAGTCATTTATGTATGAATATATTTTACATATTATGTGGTTATTTGTATTATGTAAATAATGTTTTTAGTTTCATTTAATGTAAACATTTTATTTTGTATTTTTAATAACATTTATTTACATTGCATTTTATCCATGGATGAAATATTCGATTTTTATTTCCAAGAACATGTATGCTTAAAATGAGCGTGGAAAATACCACTTGGTCGAAGTGGTTCGATCCGATATGACATTTTAACGACATGGGAACTTGAAATAAAATCAAATTTATTTTATAATTAATTCGTTTTTATTTCTAATTCAAATTATGCAATGTACATTTCTAAACATTAATTGGTTTATTTTATGCAAATGTCGAATCTCAATTTATATTCGATTAACGTTTCAAAACAATGAGGGAATATTCTTTTACGGATAAGAAATAGTCGAAATAGCTTTCCCGACGGAGGATTGCTAATCTCGAGATTTCTTTTCAAGTTAAAGAATTTTCTCTAATTAATTAATTCGAAGTAAATTTATCAAACTTCAACAAATGGGTCATATTTTAATTTTATATTCGATTTGTAATTTCTACCATTTACGACAACATGTAAGCGACACAGTACCAATTTTGGGTGTTGTGGGAGTGCTTACCCTTCTCCACGCATAACCGACTCCTGAATCCATCAAATCGAATCTTTGGTAAACGCATACAATTTCTTATCGTAAAAAACAATTTTTTCCTTAAAATTGTTTTAAAAGACGTTTTTAGGTATTCGACCTACCTAACCCAAAGGTCAATGATGACTCCTTTTCCATTTTATTCAAATCAATTCCAAATCACCAATTTTTCAAAATAAAAAGTCATAACTATTTTTAAAATAATATTTAATTGTTTTACAAAAAAAGGTTATGACAACTTGGCGACTTCGTTAGAGACTTTTTTTAGAGAGTCAGGTTGTAGGTCGCTTACAGATTATCGTTGTGCTGGAAATTATGAGTTCGAGTCTTTAGTTAACTTATGATCCATTTATTGAAGTTTTTAATTACTTCATTTTTAATGGTCATACTAACATTTGAATTTTTGCTTTTAACCCTGTCCAAGTTTTTTTCGAGTTTTTTTATTTCTTTTACCTTTTTTGAGTGAAAGGTAGGTACGTTCCTCCTTACACACTTCACATGCATTTGCATAACATGAGCTCTTCCTCGTATGGGTATAAGGAAATGAATCCCCTCGAATTGAACTCGTTCTATTCGAAACCTGTAATGGGCGAGGATCAAGGGTTTGACAGCCTAAAGGGGCACCGACATCAAGGATAATTCGAGTACCATTTTCCTCATAGAGCTGAAACCATGGATGTAGTGAACCATAGAACATTCACCCTAGGTATAGTCATACCGAACCTCTGTCCATCATTAGGTGCCAAATTAGGTGTACACGAAGGAGGAATGACTCTAAACCTTCTCTGTCCATCATTAGGTGCCAAATTAGGTGTACACGAAGGAGGAATGACTCTAAACCTTTACCTTTTGCTTTAAGTTCGTAGAATATATTTATTCTTTTCGAATAAAAGCATACAAACTAGATACCATGCGGTTAGGATTATTTTCTTAAAATAAATCATTTAGGTAGAAAGCATGTCCGAGCAGGATTGTTATCTAATGAAAGCATGCTCGGGTAGATATCATGATTGGGTATGTGTTATTTTATCTGTAGATAACATATTTTAAGTATATTGATTATCTTGTTTGTACTAACTAATTTGTTCGTACTACCTTATTTATTATATTTTGTTTGTGTTATTTTTCATCATTCTTTGCATTGCATTTCATTGACATGACATAATGAGAAAAGTGTTGACCCGAAAGGGAATATTCGAGAGAAAATCTTCACAAGAAGAGATAAAAGTTTTTCAACCAAGCAGTCGCGTACACAGACATGCACCGAGGGCTAAAAAAAGTTTAGATTCCAAGAATGAGGCTTGCTCAAAGATTGTGCAATATTAGAGACTGAAAGGAGGATCCATTGATCTGAAGAGTAGTCCAACAGTAAA